GTAGTTATATTAATAAAATTTTGCAGTATAGCACTTTAAAGTTTGTATTTTCTTATGATTTATTATAAGATTTATAACATAAAAATTGATTTTCCAAAGATCTTTTTTTTTGTCAATTTCGTCCCTTTTCTCAGCACCTAGCCCATATATACGTACTATATATTGATAATTCGGAAATTTACATAACAAATAGCTACAGTATAATAGCATTTACCCTAACTACAGTATAAAAAAAAAAGTTCATTTAAAAAGATGAATAATATAGCTGATAGTAATTTATGTAATAATACCTTCATAATGCATTGTAAGAAATTCTAGAATAATCTTTCAAAAGAAATTTTAAAGAATTCCTAGTATAACAACACCATATATAAACAAATCTCACAGATCTTATAAAAAGTAAAAACATACTAACAAAGTTATAATTCTATTAGATTCATATAGATTCAACAATAAGGAGTAAACATATTCAAGATTGCTACACTACATCCTAACCTTTATATAAATCCAAATAATAAATCAATTTGACAACTTTCTAACTTTACAAATCCTTAAAACTAATAAATCAAATAAAATCTATTCAATTATTAGCTTGCATTAGCACAGGTTCTAACATTGTGACCATAACTTCCACAATTAGCACATTTATTTTGTCTTTTTTCTTGTGTATTATCAGTATTAAGTCTATCTCAATTTTGATGTGTATTACTAATATCTTTCAATATACCCTTGAATTGTTGTTTTGGTGGGCATCCACGATGTTTAGTTACAATTGGATTGATGACTACAACAGATTAATGAGATTCAATATTATTTTTATCATTATTATCCTCTTCTAAAAGTTGCAACTCTCGTGTTTTGGAAGAAATGAACTCCTCCATTATTTTATAAAATTCATCATTACAATTGAGACATATCATTAAATTTAATGCTTTTTTAGACATTCCATATCCTTTAGCCCAACATGTCTTTTCACTAATTAATTTTTTCAAGGCAGGAGTAAATACATTAGAAGCACGAAATTGAAACAAATATCCAAAATTAATTACATTGCTAACATTATTAAATGATAATAGTTGATTAGTTTTACCACATAGTCTAATAGGTTAAAGTATTGCAATAAGATCTTCATCATTATTTATCTTATTACTTTTATACCATCGACTTGAAATAAGAGAAATATGAAATCTAGCAAGATGAGATTTTGTCAAAACTTTAAAGAAATGACAACAAACAATCCCTTTAGTGATCAAGGTAAGACAAGTACATAAGTGCATGCTATCTGCAAATATTATGACATGATTACTGAAATAATTTGAAAAAATTCCCTGTCGAGTTATATACCAGACCTGTTCAACATATTCTCTTCTTAAGTTTTGCAATAAGGATTTGAGACCTATCTGGAG